AACTTAAACATTGTTCTATAAAGTAGCTGCATTTAATGGGAAATGTGCTCAACTACTGTATTGTAGTAGCAAGTAATTTGGAAGAATCAGCCAATGGGATCCTCTGGCTGCACTTCAGAAGGGACAGTGGCAAAGCCCACGTCCAGAGCAGTTTGATGGCCTGAGCTTTTATTAATAGCTTTGGTCCAGGTTACTGCATCCCCTCATTATACCAGAGACTACCGCACAATGAGTGACAGTGTCGGGTTCGGCCAAATTACCCTGAAGTGATGGGCAAAAAGCTCCAATAGAGCCCAGGGTGGAGGACATGACTTGTCAGGACTTTCCCAACAAGGCCTATGTGCCACAGAAGGCTGTCGAATGACTCACAATCCATTTTTTGGGAAAGCAATTCTGTTTTGGTATGCAGAGGAGACGCTACAGCCAGCAGCCATCTCCCCATCAGTGCTCTGCACTGGAGCAGTGCCACAGTGCAACTGCTGGTAGCATCTGAAAGAAGAACATGCACTCCTCCTGACATCTGTGTGCTGTCTTGCCCACACTTCATTCTCACTGTGGCTTTCAGCACTGTGTACTTTTGCTAGCAGAGTGGAAGAAACACTTGTTGCTCTGCCCTGAGCATCAACAAACAGACTCTTGAGGAACAGTAACCAACTAAGGTTGCTTTACTGCAGAGCCAGTATTGCCGGACAAACTTATCAGCACATCATTTATTCATGCAGGCTCAGACTTTTTCCTCAGAAAACAGCTCTCCGGGGAACACTTCACAAAGGCCTATCCAATGTACTGACAGAGCCCTCGCTGCATGTTTCTGCTTCGTGACAAAGAGCATCAGCATTGTATTCTGGTAAAAAAAAGATACCTGGAGAATAATTGCAGGCTCTGATCATTTCAGTTTTAGACTAATAATTTTTGAGACTAAATTTTGCGTCAGCCCTCTCTTTAGTTTTTGAACCTTATTGGTGAAGTCTGAGCCTCAGAGAAGCATTGCTACTACTGTGTGAGATGCTGGCAGGAGCCCAGGCACCTTTGCAATACTGCAGAGTGGACACTTCCAAGGAGGGGACAGAAGCTGGGTGGCAGGGCAGTTTAGTCCCCGGCTACCCAGGCCTTACTTCAGTCTCACATGGCAGAGCAAAGCAAGGCGTGACAGCCATGGGACATTCTCTGAAGCCGAGCTGTTAGCAAGGCCAGTGCTCTGCATATCACCTCTAAAATAAAGTGTGCCTGGATAAAAGGACTCATGGCTTCTGTAGTCAAATATTGAGTTCCCTGGGAGATCTATGTGAGCTGAGTGAGCCTCCCTCTCCTTCCTCTAAGTCAATAGTAGCAATGCATTATCAGATTGTCTATTTTCCCAGATACATTAAATCTAGTTTGACAAAGGTGAAAATGTTAGCTGTTTGCAGCCTGACAGAGTTGGCAAAATTCAAGACTCTTCAAAAGTATCAGCTTTGATTTAAAATTGTGTCATGCTTCAGGAGAGCGGCTGTGTGTTCACCTAACTTGGTGGGCTCTGCAGTGACAGCTTCATTGCATCCTGCAGGCAGCCTGAGCTCTGCAAAGGGCAGTGCAGGCTCCCCATCTCACTGAGCCGTGCTTATGTATGAAACATGGCTCTACCAACAAGATCTTTAGGTTTTCAGAGGAATTCAGTACAGGGCACATCCTGCGCTAATTCATCTTACACAGGTGGGCTGAATTGTCCTTTCTTTGGGAGGTGTCGACTTCCCTACCCTTGGTAACCAACATGCATCGACTGCAGGATGCACTCTGACATGTCAACAAAAGGCTGTTCACGCAAATTCCACCTAAAGGCAGCCAAGGCAGAGCCTGCTGGATGCATAAAGTACAGATACAAGAAGGAGACTGCAATCAATATCTGTTTGCCTTAAACCCGAACGTAAACATAGCAAAACAGACTAACCCAGGCTGTGCGTTTGCAGTTTGTACCATATCACCACTGCCAGTAACAGCCAGCAACACGCTAAGACTTTGCAATGCAGCTGAGCAGGAGTTATTATATTAAACTATATGGAACTGCAAAAGAGAAGACTGGAGACATGGATTATAACAAACTAATTCTGGGAGGAGGTGAGATTCCCATTCCTTCATTTTGGGGGCACGCGCAAAAAAGCTCCAACGGGTGAATGCATAAAATGCTGTGCGCTGCTGTTCCATCTTCCCTTCCCACCACAAGGACCCAAGCCCTGCAGACCTCAAGAGCAGCAGCTTCAGTCTCATGGCATTCTATGAGCACCACTAATTTTTGAGAAAGACTGTTTAAGACTACTTGTTTGCGGAGATAATGATTGATAGTGATTAAGCGCAAACCATTGGCAATGTGCATTTGTTAATGAACGTCAATCTAGTAAAGTGCTGAAGTTTGAAACTTGCTTGATTTATCAGAGGGTTGAACACTCCCATCACAGCAACCCCTTATTTCCTAAAAGAAATGTGTTTACGATACACATGTATTCATTTGCAGCAAACTGCTATGTTTCCAATGTCCCACAGAGAATTCAGTACACAAACCCCACTGAAATTCAGGAAAAATTTAATTCCCAAACCTGTCCATGTTCCTTCCAAATACATCAAACCAGAGCCCTACTGCAGTTTCAGCAAGCCTGGCAGCCTGACTTCATGATCAACTCAAAACCCATGAATTAGATGTGGGGATCACAGATCCTGTTGGATTGTAAGTCCCACTGTTGCAGGACACAGCCTGTGGATTAAGGTTTCTTCTATCAACTTTAGAGGTCAAGGTTTTACATTAAGGGAAGGGAGAGAAAGCTCTGCCTTTGCAGGGATCTGGGCTGCATTGGAAACTACGATAGATAGAAAATGCAGTTGTGTTACCAAATTCACACCCATTGCCTTGCACCCCAAAGCCACCACATGCAATGTAAACACAAGATGATCACCAGCAAAATAAGGAGTGGAGAGATAACACCCTTTCCTCTCTTCCCTACATTTTGGTTTTACAGGACTGCTAGCTGCAGCTCAGTACACCGGGATTTGGCAATGACCAGCCAGTGTGGCTTTAACTACAATGAGTCCTTTAAACAGTCAGCATTACTGTGTTTGTCTTGATTAACTTGTGCTAAAGCAAAGCTTTCCTAACAACCAATTAGAAACCCAGTAAAAATTACATGATACGAACTGTGTTTATGAATGCCACATTAGTGAGGTACAATGGCTGTTGTACAGTCATCTGACACACTTTCAGAAGAATCTCTAAAAGAACTGAGTACCAGCAAAGAAATAGGAAATATCTAGATGCTGAAGCCAGAGAATACCTGCTTAGAACATAGAGCTTCTTTAGTTAAGAAAAAATAACCATTTCACAAAACCGTGAAGGAAAGTAACAAATAAGAAAAATACAACGGTCCGTAATTATAAGGACAGGAAAAGCAAGTCAATTCTCCCTTTCGCCCCTGAAATCAAGGAGTTATCCCAAATGCGTGCGTAGGAGAGGACTTCATTCCTTAAAAGTAGAGGCAATCAGTGCTGACTAATCAGCACCAGGCATTACAGAGTCCACCACTGTAACCTGTGAGCACTTACAAATTGCTGTCTTGACTGAGCATAACGATATTTTACAAAATAAAAGCTATTTTCTTTAGCACACAGTGCAACAGCCTGGTTTTTCTGTTTGTTTGCTTTACATCCAGAAGGGAAGGCTGATTTTTACAGAACAGCTTTGACTTCTTAAAGTTACTTTGAAACTATTTGTTTTCAACCAGCAGCATCTAAATTGGTGTCAGAGCTGATCTTCCATTTGTTCAAATGAGAAACACTAACATCGCATCATTTTATTTCCACTTCTAAAACAAGAGCTGCTTACAGACTGTAGTGCGAACCCTAGCACTTAGGCATCCTCTACACAAGCTTCAAGCCAGTTTCTGTACAGAAACTACAGAAGGGAGCAGAAAGGCTGCATTTGTGTTGGAGGGTGAGCAGCTTTCCCTTGCAACCGAGATGCACTGCTTCTGCCCTTCTGAGATGGATGCCTGTCTGATCAGAAAGCCTGAGCTGTGCGATGGGGTCAGCAGCACAGGTGTCAGGGCCAAGGCAGGGAAATGCACTCTGAATGGCTAGTGCCACAGTGCACTGATTTAAGAGGTAAAACAAAGCCAACAGGAAATAAACCCCACTGAAAGAGGATTAGGTGGCTGGCAAGATTATCCTATAAATAGGCCTCAGTTTGCTTCCTTTTAATAGAGCCAGGGGCCAAAGAGACCCATGTTTCCAGTGCTAATAGGTCTGGATGAAGGCATTAAGACATTTACAGAGAATGGGAGGCTAAGGGATTAGAATTGATGGGAATTTACGGATCTTTTGTGAATTAGCATCAAAGGATGTCTGACTCCATGGAAAGTTCGTATAGCAGAGGTAAATGGAGATACCATTATAAAAGTTTTTCTAGTTAAAAACAATGCTGTTATTATTTAAATATAGCTTATTATACATGTATGTTAATTTCTCTCCTGAACTTTAAGATATAGAGCAGACTGAGAATTTCTATTCACTCTTGCTTATCATGGAAGCACAGGGGATATTAACTTTGGTAAGAGGATTACTGAATGCTCGGGGTCTGGGTCTTGGGTGGGACATTGTGGCACAACTGCAGCCTCCCTAGCCCATACAAATACCACATTGCAGCTGTGTGTGCTGAAGGAAGGCAGATGATAAAAAGCACACCTTATTTCAGGAAAAACAGCCTGCTAGAGGAGCAGCAACATGCTAAGTGCAGAGGGATTATGTGGCTGCAAAGCCCTGTGCGTGCCTGGCCCAAGCAGTACAATGTCCTGAGGGGTGTGCAGATGCTGAAAGCAGTTTTTGAGCCTGCAATGCTCACACTCTGTCCTGGACTAATGATCTCTGACCTGAGAACGCCTGAAATCAAAACCCAAACCAGTGCTTTTCTCCATAGGTTAAAAGCTGCAGTCCCAGGAAACGTAGTGTTCATATAATGAAAAATGCTTATCTATTTACAGCTCACTATTGTTCATATTGCTGAAGTTACTCATCATCCTTCAAGGTGCTTCACACTAACCACCAGTAGATGAGAAGCTTCAGCTCACTGTATACAGAATCATCTCCAGGACAGTAGCATCAGCAGGATTTGCCTCATCCAGCTGCCACTGAATCAGACACTCATCGTACAGGAGAAAAAACTGGGACTGACTCGGAAAGACCTTCCAATTTCCCCTGTGTTTTAGTCCAAGAGAACTCTATTACCATTAATGTGGGAGAAATGAGACCTTGTACTGAATGAGTTCAAGGACCTCTGCAGAATGAGGCAGATACTGAGCTCTGAAGAAGTGCAGCGTGGGGATTGATTCTAGATACCTTTTTGCATCCCACAAACAGCATCTTGGATTTGCCAACCAGTGTAAGACACTGACCACTGCTATCAGACAGCTGTCACCTGCTGAGCTGATTCCAGCCTGCAGCTCTTGCCCCACAAGAATACATGAAACATCGCTTCTGGCAGCAAGTTTGGGGCATCTATCTTTCTGCACTGAGGAAAGAAACCACACAGTGGGATCAGGTAACCATAAACTACAACTGCTACAGATGTTCTCCTTCCACTGAATATGACTGCACATATCGTTCTGACTGTGGCTGCACTGGAAATGTGGTTCACAACATATTCCTAATGGAAACATTCACTCATCAAGCAAAAACGGTTCATCCCAAAACAGCAGCATTTCAGTGCTGCTGTCCTACTCTGATGCTTCATCAGAGTAAAAGCTGGAGCACCTGTGTTCTCTGTGGGGGTGGGTTTCCTTTGGGGCTGTCACTTCACATCTGAGAGTAAAACCTTCCACGTATTTAAGGAAGCGAGGAGGGTATGTATGCATTTCAGATAGATGCAGTCATTCATTGAGACTAAGACAAGAATAGCTGTGGTCAGAGGATGCACAGGAAGCTTGTGGGACACGAACACCACTGGCAAAAGAAAAATCAACAGGGAAGTGGTTCTGCAGCCTGAGAAGCACTGGCAAGGCATGCTGACCTGCACACATCCTCTGCCCACTGCATACAGGCAGCTCGCTGCCAGCACATGGCCACAATAGCGCTCCAGAAGCAGCAGCTACTCACTGCCACAGCTTCCTGGCTATTACAGTGACATTATTAATCATTTCAGGACTTCATAATGTTTTGACGGACAGATAGCATGAGGTTGGATCTAATAACATCTGTTACCTCTATTCAAGTTTTGCATTATTAAATCAGATCAAAACTGGCAGAATCTCCCCTTTAGCAGATCTGATATTCCTGGGGACAGTCAAAACTGTCCAAAAGGAGCTAATGTTTATTCACCCTTTGCAAACAAATACCAAAATCCATTTGGAGGTCGCTGGAGAGGACAGCGACGTTTTCCTTTGTAAAATCAATGTAATTACTGAAAATCCTACAACAGCAAAAAAAAGAACAAGCGAACCAAAGCTTGCCGTGAGGATAAGGGCCTAACCTCTCTGCTGGCATAAAGCAACTTCGGTCTGAGGAGTTCAGAAGGAAAGCTGTGCTCAAGAGAGAACTTGATTTTGTCTATTCATATTGATTTGCATCATCTGAAGATCTACCCCTATATCCCTATAAGATTAGGAATGCATGGTGCTGTGAAGTGAACTGTATAATTCAATATTTTATCTTTCCTTCAGGCAGGCAGGCAGGAAGTATGCTCCAAGGTAAGAACTAATCAGTAGAGTTGAGAGAATAATTTACAGTGGAATAATTTACTCAATGAATTTAGCTTCTTATCTGCTCAGAGACTTCGCAGCTCTGGAAAGCAGAAGACATAATTGCAGGGTCTCTATTGCTCACAGTATCTCAGGCCGATGGCTGCATGTCAGGCTTGGCTGTGTAGGGCTGATTAATGCCAGGGCCTTTCCTCCCTGACAGGGACTGCAATTTCCTAACCAGAAGGAACTGAAGAAACCTGAAGCACCTACACCTTTCCCATGCAGACTTGGATCAGCTTTACTTTAGCCTTAGCTTCTTGTTGCAGAAAGTCATGTTGGCAACAATGCTTCATAGGCTCATAGAATCACAGAATCATTACAGTTGGAAAATGACCTCTCAGATCATCCAGTCCAAACTCTAACCCATCCCCACCATGCCCACTGATCTTGTCCTTCAGTACATCTCCACAGTTCTTTAACCCCTCCAGGTACAGTAACTCCACCATCTCTGTGGGTCTGTTGGCACACAGAGGAGAATATCAAATGCTGACAGGCAGCAGCTAAGCAGGTGATCAAAGGGTCTTCCCAGTACAAGCTGTACACTGGAGCATGTGTGTAAGAAATGAAATGACTTTTTTTTCCCAGTCTTTATATGACTCTCATGGAGAGCAAAATGAGAAAAAAAAAATTACATGTGTCTTATCACACTGCAAGGATTATCTGTCCCCTCTGAGATCACCTCCGCCTGTCACGTACACATTTTTACAAGAATTAAAACACTATTACAGCCGTAGAGCACAGATACTGTTTTGTAGCTTCCTAAGAGCCATCACATGTGGGAAACAAGCACCAATAGCCAGCAGACACTGAGTGCATCAGCATTAGCTTCTCTGGGAAGAAGTAGCATTTCTAGTGGGGCAGCCAGCACAGAAACCCCACAAACCACTGGGAAATACTGATGTCTGCGCCAGAGAGCACGACTCCCAGGAAAAGGAACACACATTGGCACCTGGCCCCAACAGGGCTGCCAGGAAGGAAGCCTCAACAACTTTCCCGTCTAGACATACCATCACCACGTGAGCCATCTCCTGCCGTCATCCCCTGGGGGCTTCCAGCAGACATGCCGGGAAGCGGCTTTCCCCGATAACAGTCTTTGGAGGAGGCGGCTTCAGCAACTCCTTGCACCATGGCAAAAACCCAAAAAGATTTTAATCATTTGGGCAGAGCCCCAGGAGAGTGTGGGGTAAAAGCCAGCTGGTTATACAGGCAGAGGGAAAGGCAGAGATACAAGGAGCTGGGATAAAAGCAGAGCAAGGCCAACTGGGTGACTACCAGTTTGCAGGGATCCTGCACCCAAGGGTTTGTTCCCTCTGTGTTTGCTCCCTATTGTGTTCCCTCTTCTGCAGGGGAAGACTGACTTAGATTCAAAGACAGCAAATTTAGAATCAAAAATAGCTCTGCTCCTTCTGCCTTTGGCATCTGACTTTTTATCTGAGTATTTGATGCTGTTTGTTTTGACTCAGAATACTAGGTTTCCTCCTCAGGAACTGGGGCCGACAGACCTATTTAATCTTTCATATTGGCCACAGTGATAACTTCTTATTAAATATTTCATGCTGTTGTACTGATAAAGAGCATAAGACAAAACTTGGCATGAATACGATTCCAAAGAGCATCTGCTTAAAAATAAAACACTTGGAAGAATCAGGAAGGAAATAAGTAGCCATGCGGCTGGAAAAAAATGATTCAAGGTAATCAGGTCAAGCCTATAATGAAGTGTTTATAAACAACAGTAAAAACACTGAATGTTTCTACTGTGCATCACCTCGTTATTTCACAAGAGCCTTCCCAATATCCATACTTGGTGGTCTATTGCTGTTCCGTGGTGCCAGTGTTTATAGGAAACTTATGTACAAGCAGCTCCCCTCTGGCAAGGGGAGTTCTAACAAGGAGTCCTAAAGAGCACAGTGGCAGCCAGCACAGTCAGCGAGATAACAACCTCAGGTGCTGGCGAGGTTCCCACAAGCTGACTGGGCTTTGGGTTGCTGTACTGTACAGAGTGGACCTATAGAATCATTAAGTCTGGAAAAGATCGCTAAGATCGTCCAGTCCAACCATCAACCCACCCCCACCATGCCCACTGACCATGTCCCTCAGTGCCACATCTCATGGTTGTTGAACACCTTCAGGGATGGTGACTGCACCACCTTCCTGGGCAGCCTGTGCCAGTGCATCACCATTCTGTCTGAAAAGGAATGTTCCCTAACAGCCAAGCTGAACACCCCCTGACACAACTTCAGGTCATGCCTTGCTGGCTGAGCACCAAAAGGAGATGCAAAACAGCTTGCTGCTCTGCTATTCAGGGGCCTTGTAGAGACCTCACCTCAGGAGCCTAGCAAAAGATTCTTTCATATGCAACACAGTGACTTTTGTCATTTGGGTATTGGCAGCTTATACATTCATTCCAGGGACCTGAATGTGGCAGTCCCTTTCTCAGACACTACATGACAATGTTAAATGCTGACATCCCACCAGTATTTATGTTTCTCATAATGTAGGCCAGTGTGTGCCCTACAAGGGCCTGCAAAGGGCTAAGCACAGCCAGCACCTGGGGTGCCAAGCACCCCTCGCACCGTGAGCTGTGATCCCCGGTGTGCAACAAACACAGCTGCTGTGTTAAAAAAAATAAATAACTTCAGACAGAGAGCTTAGAGACCTCATACTCACTGGCAAAAAAAAAAAAAATGAAAGCAGAGAAAAAGCAACCACTAAGCAATTAATTGAAAAATTATTGGCAGGCCAGGCCTCTGCCTTTAATGATAACTGATAATAGGGCCAGTCAATGCTATGCAGTGGGATAATACAAACACACCCTCTAGAGTGAAAGCGCAAAACGAGACATACTATTATCATAAATAGATTAATTAAATAGAAAGAGAGCATTAAAGAACAGGAGATTATTAGCGTGCAGGCAATAGCCTATTACAGCAGCACAGCTGATGAATGCAGGTACCAGGAATACAGCACACAAACCTGGAACCAGAGGGAAGAAAAATGTTTGGGCAGCTGCAAGGCAACAACCTCCTCCTGCAGCTCCTCACAGTGTCTGTGTGGGAGCTGCTGGCTTCAGGGCTGTGTGGCTCAGTCAAGAGCAATCTGTGGGCTGGAACCTGAAGGGCACAGGAAAGACATGGCCAAAACGTGGCCAGGCTCTTCCACCTATCTGACAGAAAGCTTCTCAGCTTGTGTTGAGAAATGACTGAAGCACGCAGCGGGGAGTTAATAAAGTTTCAGAGAGAAACACTTTGAAAAATGAGCCAGTGTCACAGTTTATCACTAATAAGAGTTTTCCTGGTGAAAATAATGCTGCTGTTCCCAACTGCAATTTGTTTGTCAACTGTACGTTTCCCATCAGTAAAAACCTTTGTTATTCAGAAATATCGATCAAAGTTCCATGTTGGGTGGTGTACAACAAGTGAAGTGTAAATACAGAATTTCCTAGAAGAAACTTCGGGAATGCTGTGTGCACAGCTGATGTGACAGTAATCATAGAATCATAGCATTGTTAAGGCCAGAAAAGATCTCTAAAGTCACCCAGCCCAATCATCAACCCATCCCCACCATGCCCACTGACCATGTCCCTCAGTGCCACATCTTCCCTCTTCTTCAACACCTCCAGGGACAGCAATCGCATCACCTCCCTGGGCAGCCAATGCCAATGCATCACCACTCTTTCTGAGTAGAGATGTTTTCTAACACCCAGATTGAATCTCCCCTGGTGCAACTTGGGGCCATTTCCTCTTGGCCTATCACAGTTACCTGGAAGCAGAGGCAGACCCCCATCTCACCACAGCCTCCTTTCCTTTCAGGCAGTTGTACAGAGCCATAAGGTCTCCCCTGAGCCTCGTCTTCTCCAGAATGAACAACCCCAGCTCCCTCAGCCGCTCCCCATAAGACTTGTGCTCCAAACCCCTCATAGTTCTGCTGCCCTTCTCTGGACACACTCCAGGGCTCAACATCTTTCTTGTAGTGAGAGGCCCCAGCTGAACATAGTACTCAAAATGCGACCTTAGTGCTGAGTACAGAGGGACATTCACTTCCCCATTAGTATACAAATGCAAGAATGTTATGCCTTTAAGGGATCTTCATCAGCCATCATTCCTCACCAATCTCCTACAAACTCATGGGGTGCTCTACAACTGGGAAATACAGATGGATTTTCTCCATGCATTTCATTTTCAGATGAAACAGTTTCATTACTTTGCAGCCAATTTAAATCAGGAAAGGTCTTGACATGCAGAGATTGTCCACAAAAGTCCCTACCCTCCCTAGGAAGTGGAAGTAGTGCCATAGGACTCCAGAGAAATTAACAATTTGGATGGTACGGAACTGGCCCTCAAACCCTGTTTCCAGCATGCCCCAACGGGAGGGGAAGTGCCCTGGCACAGCCTGTGCAAGCCTCATTCCTGGTTTAGGGGGACTTGTGCCAACGTGGAATATTCCTGTGCAGTCCACAGAAAACAGGGACTTGATTCTAGGAACAAACTTAGTGAGGCAGGTGTGATCTGTGCTAAGGGCAGGACAACGTAGTTATAATGCTGCAAATAATATTAATATTTGCACTGAAGCACAGCACAGCTCTTGGGAATTCCACTTATATTAATGGAGATCAGGCAGCTACTCTACACAGCCTTTCATTGCCCAGCACTCCTCACTAGCAGTAACCAAAGGGCTCAGCATCCTCTCCTGCCAGAATCAGGCTCTGCAATGCAGAGCCAGAGGGAAAAAAATGCATCACATTTCCCCGAAAGGTAACAAAAGACTCCCAACCCCTATACACCTGGCTTATTTCCTAATGCAGATTCAGAGCAAAATCAAGTGAAAACATGATTCTATATCTTTTATGAAACATGAATGCTTTACAAACAGTATGCTGCCACAGTCTATCATTGTTAGTGTCCCATTAGAAATACAGTAAAAAATCAGGACCCTCTTGCACGGTCTTTATGGATATGTCTACATTTACAGAGATACACACACACGTGCTCTCTTTTAAATGGATGTAACTTGGAATGTACATGGTACAGCATAAATGCCTCAAGAGTTTACCGCACACCGCAGACATACATCACACAGGCAGTTTTAATCTTCTCTTTAATTCTCTTTTTACCTTCCGCAGGATTTACGGAAAGATAGCAGAGATGCACAGTACCTCATCAGATATTTATTTATTCATTTAAAATATTAATATGGGAGTATCCCATCGCAATATTGCCAAGCGGGAAGCACCAGACAGAAGCAGAAATTTATTGCCAAGCACAATATGTGGCTGTGCAGCACATCCCTAACATCTCGCAAGGTCTTACTTCCCCACTTTTTGGAAGCTGGCTGAGGGGGAACCTTCCAGTGCTTTTTGGTCAGGCAAGGGAAATTGATTTGTGCTGATATTTGGAGAGCTTTTTGCAGCAGCTTCTGCCCAGCACAGATTCAGAACGAGACCAAGAGCTCTGCTTTCAACCCCTTCAGCCTTTGAGCGCTCACCTGGAGACATCTCCAAGCAGGAAAGCTCTGCTCAGTGGTTTGAATTCCTGCACTCTCACTGAGCCCTCCTCTGCACCTTAGAAGAATGTGAATGTTTTTGGAGAGCTGGGGAAAAGAGTGATGTTTCACCCAAAGAGGGTCTCCAGTCCAAAATTTCTCTGGAAGATGCTATTCAGTCCATGCTCCTCGTGAAGGGAACGCATTTAAAACTGGTTTTCCCCAAATAAAAGCACTCAGAATCAGCAGCCTCATTCAAAAATATCGCTCACAAACTTTAGAAAACCAGTGACTCTATGCTGCCTTGCAGCTCACCCTGGAAAGCCCAGAGAAGCTGTGGTACCCATCACCTGTATTTGCACAGTCAACCTAAGAGCACACTGGTTCCTACTCACATCTCTTCCCCAACAGCACATTTGGTGCCAGTTCAGCAAAGCTCATCACAGACCTGCACGTTGCTACCTGCAGCTCACAAAAATGAACACACCTGCAGCAGCAGAGAGGGGCACCTCCAAAAAGCAGCAGTAGCAGAAATCTGTACATACTCCATTTGAGCAGGAAACCCTTTCACCTAATTCAGTAAGCATGAGAGCAAATGTCTTTCACTCAGAAGGGGGATAGAAAACGTAGCTTTAAGCAATTAACACGATAGCAAATGTCCCTAGCATTGCCCCATATGGCGTGTAATTTAAATCATCTATCTTGTTCTCTGTAAATGCTGCTGAAATTGATACATGACAATTTTAAAGCCAACTGAAGTTTAATTAATGTAAATTGCTTCAGCATCTGAGATTTAAAATATAGGAAAAAAAAATAATTAGGATTGAATCAAACATGTCCCACTCACGCTGAGCCACACAAGGTAAAAGTGAGGAAAAATAAATTACGATGTATGTTGGAAGTGCAGCTTTTCCCCTCAGTTCAGTAACAATGGCTGGGAGATGGTTCTCATTTCTCTGTGTAAGACATGAAAGGTGTCCCTGAAGGGTGCACCCGCTTTGTGCAAATGGCACTTGCAGAGGTAAATCGGCTGGCCAAGGAAAGCTGCATTGCCCAGGGAGCCCAACTGCTCCCTTGGGTCACTGCAGCTTATCTGCTTCTGGGGCTCTGTGCTTCCCCTTTCTCTTAAATAGTTGTCACATCTGCCTGCTGTGACAGGACACCAGCCACAGAGTCTCACGACAGCGAGGCTATCGATGACCCAAGGATTTCTAACGCCAACTACCAGCCCAAGCAGAAAGTAAATGGAACTGAAAAAGTGCATCTGCTATTATAAGAACAGATCTGCAATTACAAGAGAAGGCTAAAAACCCTGCATTTGCCTGTCTAGTTATGACATTTTAATTTCAGTTCTTCCTCTGCTTCAGCACGCACATTCTCCAAAATGATACATATTTATTTATCTAGCTTTTGAGGACAGATACAGTTCCCAAAATAAAGATTGCTCTGAATGACTGAAATGTCCCATAATTGCAGTATCAGTCCTCCCACATGTACTCTAAACTATAAGTTTCTCTAATTTCCAAGGTACAACAATATGGCCTGCGGCTCCTGTTTGTAGCAGCAATAAATACCATCATAACCAGTTTCCTTTAAGAGTATGAATTTATGGGAGGGAGAATAAGAGTGGAATCAGCTCAGCAAACAAAATACTGACTTCACAACCTCCTGGCAACACATTTCTACATCTCATATTAATGAAGGTGTTGCTGCTGCAGTATCTCTTATGCGCGGCAGAATGTATTTAATTCCATATTTAATTATTATCATTAATACAGCTAAGCTTAGTGTAACAGTTTCCCTTATCTGCACAGCAAAATATGGTTCTCTGGTGAAATGTACAGCCCTTTAAATCTGTCTTGCATCAGGATTGCTTTTGATTTGAAGAGGTTTTATATGAGTGCATTGTGCTGCTGCTAATGATTAATCAGCATAGGCTGCAACCCCCCTCAAATGGCTGCAAGTTCTTAAAACTGAAATTCAAATGAAAACAGTTGCCAGGTTTGGGTTGGTTGCGATCTGTGTTTTGCTTTGGTTTTGTTTGAAACTAAAACACAGCTACGAGCTGCACAGAAACATCTCCTTTAACAACTGAAATGTTTACATTTGCCTCATTGGTTTTTGACGATATTGGCTGAATTTTGCAAGTCCACTGCTGCAATCCGAGAAGATTCAGCTTCAATACATCTGCTGTATGGGTGAAGCAGCTTTTCTAGAAAGCTGTTTAATATCTCGGGGTGATTTCAAAGCAGATGATGGTTTGGCTACAGGCATAGGCACAATGAATGCACACCTACAGAAGCAGGAATTACCACGTGCACTTGTCGTTCATTAGTGACCAGGTTTGCTCTAGCAAAATGTAGGTCATTTCGCTCCTTCTCGCTTCTCTCGCTGTCAGGTTCACAAGCAGCCATCTCCTCTGTGGCCATTTGCATTTTGCTCCAGTCCCCAGATTTCAGCGGCAAGAATATTAAGGCTGCTGATCATGTGCAGAGGAGAACAGTGTACTCCCCATTTCAAGATGAATGTAACAGCATCCATTTTTGACTAGGAAAATAATCTTGCTTAATACTGACTAGCAAACACTGACAGTTATTTATAAAGGGGAGAATAGAATGTGGAGTGGCTGTGAGCAGACAGGGCTGGCGCGAACACACGAACGTGTCCTAAATATCAGCGCTAGCACTCCTGACAGCCTTAGAAAACGAAAGCTTCAGGGTGCCAGTCCTCACTGCCAGACCATTTCTTGAAAAAGTGCATGTATGTAGGTTAGAGGCAGGGACAGCCCCCTAAGTGCACAAGACTGCCGTGCCCTCTGTTCCTATTAATAAGAACAAATCGCTGCAATGCTGAGCATTTGCCATTCATTCTGCCTGGCATGGGAGAACGAGGTGCAGCCACATGTGGTGAAGCCAGATTTCTCCCTCTTCCTCCCCCTAATCAAAACAAATTTACAAAGACAAAAGGAAGGCTTCCAGTGCTTGGTATTCACCCTTAGCCACCCATGTATCACACATAATTAGCAAGTTAAACCTACAAATTAGATGCCGTAATTTGGTAATTATGCCACAATCTGGTACTTTTTAACCT